AAATGAAATAAAAATCTGCCTTGTATATGTAAACGAATTTCCAAAAGTCTACAGGTTATGTTTTTGTATCGAAATGTATGTTGTAACTGAGAAATTTTTTTGTTGAAAAAATATTAATTGGGATCTGGCTCTCAGTAAAAGCTATAATAAAATTTCTCAATGAAATGTTATTCCATGTAGGAATGTCAGTCAAGAACCGATAACCTTACATCTCTTATTATGTCAGTAAGTTTCCATTCAGAATGTACGTAACAAGCTATTGAATGGAAATTATTTGACTTGAACATGAAAGATCGTTTCTTTCATAGAGAATCTCTTTTTTAAATCTCCTTTTTTATTTTAGGTGGAAAAATGTATCATTAGGATCTTACCGAATACGATTTTACACCTCTTGCCTCGTGGTCTACGTGTTATTCGACTCTTGTTTTATATTATTATTAGTAGGCGTGGCTTGGTTTCTTTCAATTGGATCACCTGACTTTTTTTGATAGTTCGTCCGTTGATCTCCTGAGGGCGGTAACTTAGTTGGCGAAACGTTCGACTCGAATACTGTGATGGCACGTGCATGCCACGCTACGTGCCGGACCGGTGACGGAACGGTCTAGTGGGCGTTGGTTCATATAAATTGTATTAAAGAATATTTTTTAGCATGTGCCGGTACGTTTACGGTCATGGTTTGGTACGGTATAGTGGGCAGAGACCTTAAGCCGTGAATTGTTTTTCCACAATACCGGACGTTTTCTTCGTATTGCTTCTTGCAAGCGGCGCATAACTTCGATATAATACTTCTTATTGACTGTACAAGAACTCATGATGCACTGCGCCACGGTAATCGAAGAAAATGGTGGGCAAAACCTTACATTTGATCGAACTTGGCGTGCTTTTTTAGTATTGGCTCTCCTTGGCTCTTCCATTGGGACGATTGGACTTTGGTTTCGATGCCATAACCATATACCCATGATTCGTCACCAGTTATAACCCTTTTGAGCCGTTAACGTCATCAAACAATTCCTGAACAATGCTCATGCAACGGTTTTTTTGGTCAAAATTCGTCAATTTTGGAACACAATTCGCTGCCACACGCTTCATACCCAAAATTTTCGAAAAAATTGTATGGCAACTTCTCTAATAGTGACTCGACAATTCTTCATAACAATTTTATTCACTTTCTCAACATTTTCATCGGTTGCTGATGTGCTGGGGTGTCCAGGGCGAGCATCGTCATTCACGACTTCTTGACCTTCTGTGAAAAGCTTACACCACTTGTCAACATTTTTTTATCAAACTCAGAGTACAATCACTGAATGCCACTGTCAACATTTCAAATATTTATGCCTCTCACCAACAAACTGACAACAAACTGACAACAAACAAGACGAGACTTGAGAATTATATATCTCTCTCTCTTTCTCACACAGTCTCCTAACGAAGCGCATCTTAGGAGAGGTCCTGAGCCGAGTCTTTGAAGTCATTTCCTAGATTTAACAAGTTGTACCAACATGAAATTTAAAAAAATCGCTAATCAAATGTACGTAGTTCGCAAAAATTGTACATTGTCCACAGCACAGCACTGTTCGAGATATCGTTCAGTTTTTCTATCTACACTCATTACAATAGTCTTCCCACATACCTAAAAATTAAGTTTTGTATATTGTAAAGGAGTTGAATGGAAGAGCAGGATTCAGCGTGTTGCACACGCTTGTCTCCTGAATTCCGCTCCGAGATTTTACCAAACCCATTGTCTTTTTCTTGTGTACTTTTCTTTTTACCTTGGTGAATAAAAGACATTATTATTATATTACAGTTTAAAGTAGACTCATAAAAACGGACAAAACTTTTGAATCAAAAAAAAGTTTTAGAGGAGGATTCAATGTTACCGTCGACTGTCCCCTAGAAGATTTTGAAATCATTCTATTTATATTTTCAATATGAGCCCCCTTTATAAATCATCAATGAGGCAAAGATATTTTTTGCTTTATAGCATTATAATAGAGCTGAAACAATAAAATGTTACGAAATTTCATCAAATTTCTTAGAAAAAAAATAACGAATTGATAGTCATTAGTTTATTTAAAAATGTACTGATACATGTAACAGTAAATAAGTTTATTTTTCCTCGTTGAAGCCAGCTGATGAAAATTTCATTGGTTCTGGCCATCATTGAAGTTTACTGTCATTATACAACTGTACTGACAGTATAAACATCACTCAGTTGGGATTTCAAATAGTTTTTTGTGTGAAGGAGTCTTTAACATTTCCGACCAAGTTATTATTTTTGATGAATTATTCGTACAGAATGTTCGTCATTAATGAAATAAATCGATAAATGCCAAATGAAAAATTTTGAAAACACGAAAAGTTAGCCCTTGATCACAGCAATTGGTCGCAGTTTGATACACTTTTTTGAAATTCCAGCTGCATGACAGGTATTTACTACATCAGTAACATTTTTATACGACTCGGGAGCCTCCTCCATGACTAATTTGGGTGATGCAACTCGGATTGAGATTCCCATATACTCCATTTTCCTCAGGACACTGGTATAGTCTAAGTTTCTCCTAGATTTCGCTCTTGATAATGCCCGGCCCTGAATAAAATTTAAAGAACATTCAAAACAGAACTATCATGAGTAGAATTCTAAAGTGAGTGGGTCTATTTAACCCTCCACCGCAACCTGCAGGGGTTTATTGTGGCTCACACCTTTTCACACTCGACCTAAAATAAAGCCAGCTTCATAACAAAGCCGATTAGTTTTTATGATGAGTGGTCTTTCAGGTCAGATGGTAAGAGTACGGCTCTGTCGAACTCTAAAAACCTGATTCGGTCCCCAGCGGGGCAGACACAAAGTATATGCTCTGCTGTTTCATCATTTTTCAAACAGAGGCGACACACACACTGCCTTCCGACAGTCCGAGTCTGTGCATATGAGGATTCAAATGACAATGACCTGTAAGAAGGCCTGTTAGACATCGTAGTTCATCCCTACTGTAGTCCAACAACTGTTTAGTATCAAACTTCGAAGGGTGAATAAAGTCCTTGGAGTAAGCCAATCCTGGAAGATTCTGCCAGTAGTTCATGAATCTTTTTGTCATCCAGGTGTTCAATATTTGTTTGGCAAAGCCTAAAGCGATACTAATGACAGGTTCTGGTCTGATGAGGCTGCTTGCAGCACCCTCCTTTGCAAGGGAGTCGGCAGCCTCATAGGAATTATATCAGATGAATCTCTTAATTGGGATCTATATTTTGATAGTGTCTGCAAGAAACTTAATTCAGCTTTTTTGCAATAAAACAAATGAAATAATGTGTAGATACACAGAGCCTCTTAACCATTTGCAATGGCATATCCACATATTTGTCTCAATATCATTTCATGAGGACGCGTTAGACTGTTAGAGATTTTAATAGAATATTTGTTGCCCAAGATATGGTATATCCTATCGTGATAGCTGCAAGCCTATATTCATAAGGAAAAACTTGTTATTAGTTCCATGCATATATACAAAGAAATGTGTAACCTATATAAGAAACAATATTTTGAGGTGAATGCGGCTACCCATAATTATAGTAATATGTTGAGATTACACTCTCACAAAACAACAAAATTTGAAAATTCTCCACTATATAATTCGGTCAGACTTTACAATAAACCGCCAAATCCAAGTCTGAATCTTATGAAATATTCAAGAATAACACTAAAAAATTCTTAATTGAAAATCGTTTTCTATAGCTTACAGGATTATTCAGGATAAAAATTATAATTTCAAGATACTCATTATGAAGGTCGTTGTCCCTTCTTCAACTGTGTTACTCATATATCATGTGCTGTTGTGATATTTAACTTTTACTGTTATTTATATGGTAACACCCCGTATCTTAAATTAGTCTTATGATTGAATTGGACTCATATACACTTCTAACCTTTGCGGAGTCTTTTATCGATAATATTTTGAAAACTCATAATATTGTTACGTTTCCCCGTGGGTTTGACAATAATTGACTACACTAATACACTATACAATCAAACTCAACTTCATTATGCTGCTACACTGACAATACAACCAAACGCTTCCTTATCGAAAAATTGTGTTCAGCGACGAGGCTCATTTCTGGTTGAATGGATACGTTAACAAGCAAAATTGCCGCATCTGGAGTGAAAACCAGCCACAAGCATTGCAAGAGCTACCGATGCATCCCGAAAAAGTCACCGTTTGGTGTGGATTATGGGTCGGTGGCATTATCGGGCCGTACTTCTTCAAAGACGACAATGACCGGAACGTTACTGTGAATGGCAAGCGCTACCGTGTGATAATCGATGACTTTTTGTTGCACAAAATGAAAGAATTGGACATGCCTGACATGTAGTGTCAACAAGACGGTGCCACATGCCACACGGTACACGAAACAATGGCCCAATTTAGAGCCGCTTTCGGTGAACAGTTTATCCCACTTTGGAGCCCGTTGGGTCTAGTTAAGGCTCATGTCTACAGGGATAAACCAGCAACGACTGACGCTCTGGAAGCCAATATTGAAGCATTTATACGTGAAATACCGGTCGATATGTTAGAGAGAGTCTGCCAAAATTGTACCTTGCGCATGGGCCACTAAAACGAAGCCGCGGACAACATTTGCATCAAATCATCTTCAAACATAGAATTATATTGATGGTTCTATCGATTCCAATAAGGATTTCATCAATTTTTTCAAATTTTTTGTATTATTTCGAAAAACAAAACCTATACCTCTTATAAAATCACCCGTTATATGGTCATCGAAGAATTTCGAAGCCGATAAGGAATTCACTAGGAATACATCGAAGCGACGCGACATCTGGAACAATCGCGAGGCGCGGGTCGAGTTGACCGCGATCTTGGCCAAGTCACAATCTATTTAGGGGAAGATTTACAACAATATATTTTCCACAGATGAAAATTATTTTCGAGAAATCACAACATTGAAAAACAGAACCGTTCTTAATTACATTCATAACTGTTTTTCCACAGATATACCTATGAGTCCGTGGTAGCAACTGCAGAATTCTTGAAAAAACTGGTGCCTTTCAGTCCTGTCGTTGGAATAATATGTGGATCCGGCATGGGTGCGTATTGGAATAAAGGTTCTTTTCTCTTTCTTTTCTTAGCCTGCTTGCTTCTTTCTTCTCAACGTTTTTATTTTGTAGGAAATGTGTTTCAAAATCGACATGAAAATATTTTGAAAAACCCACAAAATTACATCAGCTTTATTCCGACTTTGTTTTGAAAAACATTAACCTTGATGAACTGAATATTCAAATACTCATTTTGATACATGGAGAACAATTTTTAATTGAATTTGTTTTTATTGATGAACTTTAAAACCGAAAATATCATAATTGCTATTGGTCAATCCTCTTTTTGTTTTGCATATAATACAAATTTCAATAAATGACTCTGAAGTTAAGAACAAATATCAAACCGACCAATATGCCAAATATTGCTTGAAGTGCTGGATTTCTAACTAGAAGCAAAACAAAGTACTAAAGCTGATAAATTTCTGCTTTAGAGAATATTCCAGAAGATGATTCACAGGTACAATTCCAGAGCCGCACATTTCAGCCTGGATGGCTACAAATCACCGAAGTGTTCCCACAAGAGCCACTTCTCACTGGTGGAGGTAGTTAGTAGTGTGTACCAAGTCACTTAAATGCTTACCGTGAAACTATCTATAAAAGGGTCAAATCTGCAACCTTCCTTCGATGTTCCAGACTATCAAGATTGCAAGTTCATGTCTCCAACCAGGCGGATGCCTCTTTTCTGGATAGAATCCAGTAATTTCAGGGTATGCTTAGGGGCGGATCTTCATATATGAGAACAATTCTCCAAAGAAGGTCTGATCTGAGCTTTATAAAGCATCAAAAGTTGCTGAGGTGTGTACAGTTTTCTGGTTCGGAACAGTGTTCCAAGCTTTTCAGAAGCAGCCTTTGCAATTCCAGCGACATGATTGTGCCAAACAAATTGGTGTCCATTTTAACCCCCAACAAACTTATCTAAGCAGAAAGCAGATTTGTCTGTCCTGGCATTATTATATCCGGTTCGGCGACATTTATCTTTTTAGAGAAAAGCGATGCCTGGATTTTCGTAGCATTGAAATGAACCTGGTTACTTTCACCCCAATTCGAAATCACATCTAGATCCTCATTAAGATATACGCAACCTCCTGCTGCCGGTAGAGATATGCATCCGCATATCACTGGACTCCAAATGGAATGAATAATACTGGAGTTTTTTCCCAACACCAAACTGTTATCTTCCTCATGAAGATGATCACTTGATGATCGAAACACGTGTCGAGGTGTTGAAATAACGGTTTGGTGTTGGGAAGAAACTCCAGTAAAATTCACTACTACACCAAAGGTTCCAAACAGTGCATCACAAGTCCAAATGGAATGACAAGTGAGCTGTCGTCAGTACACTTGTCTGGTGTTCGTAAGTCGTCATTGATAAGCAATAAAAAGAGGGGTTTGAGACGATATGAGTCCCTGGGGAACACCATTTCTGATGGTTAATGTTTTCGGGAGATATCATCGACGGCCACTTGCAGGGAACGTTCTTTGAGGAAGCTGGAGAGCCATACACAGAAATGATCCAACAAGCCGTAGCATCAAAGTTTGGCCAACAAACCGTCATGCCACACACGGTCAAAGTCCTTAGAAATATCAAGCGCAACAGCTCTTGACTTTCCATGTTTCTCGATTGCGTTATTCCAAATATGGGTGACCATGAACATGAGGATTTTAAAACTTCTGTTTATGGAACGATAAAATTCTATAAGTATAAAAATAAGTAACGACTCAAGATATTCCGAGGTATATTAAAACCTCCAACTTGCGTCTCCACGTAATGCTGATTGTAATGAATCAAATCTAGAATGTGAGGCATATGAAGATTTTGAAGCACATACTGCTAACTGATATGGTGCACTGCAACTAATCTGTTGTATCGTTTAATCTAAACTTAAGAAAAATCCATTACTTCAAGTCTGTAGAAAACACTGCAACCCAACTGATGTGCTGCAGTGTTTTGTAAAAATATATCTTTCCTGTGCAGTTCCTTCCTTGGATGTTTGTCGCATAAGATAGGACAGGACTGTGTCTGTCTCTTTGTTGTTTTGTCTGCAACTTAGGTTTTCCTTATATAGTAGGTGACCAATCTTTATAAAATAATAGTACTATGTTGCTGTATCGCTGCTGTTCAAATGTTTTGACACAATCAGAATCAACGAACTCAGTCGTGCGCAACGTTATAGAACAGTGCTTTCAAAAAATTGTTCTAAAGCGCCATCTAGTGGCGAGTTACAGCAAAATTGATAGCCTAAAAACCTTCTCTATGAAAAATTACTTATACATGTCAAGTTTTATCACGATCGGTTGAGCGATGTAGAAGTTTATCATTTACCAGCCAACCAACCAACAAACAAACATCCATTTTTATATATTAGACTAGTACTATGTTGCTGTATCACTGCTGTTCCAATGTTTTGACAGAATCAGAATCAACGAACTTAGTTAGGCGTGCGCAGCGTTATAGAACAATGCTTTCAAAAAATTGTTCTACAGCGCCATCTGGTGACGAGTTACAGAAAAATTGATAGCCTAAAAACCTTCTCTATGAAAAATTACTTATACATGTCAAGTTTTATCACGATCAGTTGAGCGATGTAGAAGTTTATCACTCACCAACCAACAAACATCCATTTTTATATAGTAGATTAACTAATTCTCATTATATTGGTGACAACGAGTATATTCAAGAATATATAATGTCAGTTCAGTGTCAAGAATGCCAATAAATAACGGAAGATAGCAAAAAGTGGGTTTTATGATAAGCATCAAACTACATTGTGTAGAAACAAATGCTAAATACTAACAACGCAGTGTACAATTAGTCTCGAAAGTGGAGAAGTAATAATAGGTAAAATTGAACAAATAAATAGATGACTCTTCACGACTTAGCACTTTAATCCCAATGCTATTCAAGATTCAAGGTTGTATCTCACCCTGCTCGGGGTGCCCCTTTGTTCGAATGGGTGAAATCAAGAAGGCTAAGTTATCGAACACTTCCAATGAAAATATCTATGGAATAGAGGAAGGTCTCCACATTCTTTTGGAGTCGACAGGTTCTGTATCTATAGAGTAGGGGGGGTGAGTGTAGACCCATAGCACTCGGACCACATGTGACCCATTGTACATCCTCCCGAGGAGTTGTCCTTCTAGGTCATCGTCCATCCTGCCCTTTCGAGGAAGGTGGACAGGTCACTGGGAGACGTCTCCTTTATATCGGCAGGTGAAGGCCAAGACTCGCCGAACACACACTCTCTTTGGCAACCTTGAGGTGTCTCACGACGGCCTTCGTGAAGGTTTTAGAAGGTGCAGAGACATTACTGTCGTTGCGCGGCTTCTTCAACCTTCTTGGGATTCCCTCCGTAGAGGTGCTCAAGTAAGGGCGCTTTCCTGCAGGGGCAGTCCCCAGGTTATTAAAGTTGCATGGGAAGTCTAAGTCTCCAATCAGGTGAATATTTTTTTGGATAGAATGTAGTAGTATCAGAGTATGTTCAGGTATATAAAGCATTAAAAATTATTAAGGTGTCTACAAATTTCTCGTTCGAAATAGTGTTTCATGTTACTGAGACTTTGGTGTTCCATGTTCCAGTAACGTTATCTTATCGAAACATATTGGTATCCAATTTTGCTCCCAACAAATCAATCAATGCAATTAGCGGAATTGTGTGCCCTGACATTCTGATGGTTCATGTTACCCCAAACAATTTTTTTTTGCAGAACATCATTGAGATTTGAAACGGTTTGTTGGAGATTGCGCTATACCAATAGTGGATAATATATTGAGGTAGGTAGCCTGTAGATCCTCATTTACCGAATACATACCAGTTATTGCTCAATACATCGATGGGTATTCCAAATATTTGAGAATAAGTTGATCAACATTTTTTTTATGATTTGCTACGTCATTGATAGATGATCAACTGATTTATAGTTATTCGCAAGAATTTTCTTGTACTTTATGGTATCCATTGAACTAGAACAATGTTCCAACAAGAACTAATCTCTGTACACAAAACACTGATGCAAGTTCGTTATTGCATTTATTAAATACGATGACAGGACTTCGTTGAGGTTGCTCTTTCTACCCGGCATAGTTAACAGTGGTGCTAAGTCAGTGGTACTACTGATGACGGGTCGAAACATCCGTATCTGGTGTTGAGCTCTGGTTTTCAACTAGTTGCTTTGCAGTAAAACCTGCAGTGAAAGGCAGAAGATGAATCTCGTCGGCAAAGCTTGGCTTTTCAACTGATCTTATTGGGCAGCCTTGTTCATCTTCGTTATTCGAGGTTAAGTTCTTCGTAGATCTCATAAATGCCGTCTTCGGAGATGGCAGCTCTTACTTACTCAATATTCATCTTCTCTTTAGAAAATACAGTATCCTTGTCTTAAGATACACAGGGATAGACCATTCCTTGAGGACGAGGTCAATAACATAATGACCTAGGTTGCTCAAAAAGCTTAGGCTACGTATGTAAGACATAAGTAGAAAATTGGATTGATTGAAGCGGTCTGGTGAACTGTAAGCTTCAACACATATTTGTCTCTCAAAACTGCATGACCGTGGACATTGTCGAGAGTATTTTGGGCTGTAATAGGCTAACTCGTCAAATGTCATGTAAATATATTATGCTTTCATTATGATTTATATCCAAAATAATTGTATTCCTGTTTTATTTTTACAGGGTCTCTTGCTGATAGTCTTCAGGACAAAATTGTGATTCCTTACGAAGACATACCTAACTTTCCACGAAGCACCGTCAAAGGCCATGCTGGAGCTCTAGTATTTGGCTATTTGTCAAATGTTCCAGTGGTATGCATGAAAGGTCGCTTTCATTACTATGAAGGCTATCCCCTTTGGAAGTGTGCTATGCCTGTGAGAGTCATGAAGCTACTCGGAGCCAACCACCTGATAGCTACTAACGCGGCAGGAGGTTTGAACCCCAACTTCAGAGTAGGAGATGTTATGTTGGTGAAAGACCACATCAACCTTATGGGATTCGCAGGGAATAATCCTCTCCAAGGACCCAACGATGAGAGATTTGGTCCTAGGTTTCCGCCAATGAATCAAGCCTACGACAAAGACCTCATCAAGGAGGCCAAAAACATAGCCAAAGAAGTTGGTTTGGGAGATAACATCCACGAAGGAGTATACACTTGTCTTGGTGGACCGAATTTTGAAACTGTTGCTGAACTGAATATGCTCAAGATGCTTGGAGCTGATACAGTTGGAATGTCTACTGTTCATGAAGTTATAACAGCCATACACTGCAATATGACTGTTTTGGCTTTCAGTTTGATCACGAATGAGTGTATTACCGATTATGAATGTCGAGATAATCCCAACCATGAAGAGGTTATCGATGTGGGGAAGATGAGGGAAAATGTACTTGGGAAATTCGTTCAGAGAATAGTAGAACATATAGCCAAAACGAAGAATGAATGAAGCAACTGAGTAATCTCAAAAAATATGTCTAATTTTTTATTTATACTTTGTACTTATTCGTTTTATTTAATATATTTTTTTCCCTTCAAAGTAGTCCCCCTCAGATATAATACACTTGTGTCAGCGTTTTTTCCAATCCCCGAAGCAGTTTTGAAATATACTTTTTGGTATATCCTTGAGCTCTTTCGGCGATTCGGTTTTTATCTCTTCAATCGTCTCAAAACGCCGGCCTATCATAGGTCTCTTCAAACTTGGGAACAGAAAAAAACGAAGGGTAACAAATCTGGTGAATACGGAGGCATGATTACGGTGTTATTTTGGGCCAAAAAATCACGAGCAAGCAATGACGAGTAAGCAGTTGCATTATCGTGATGCATAAAGGTCTCTGCCCACTATACCGTACCAGCCATGGCCGTGCTAGGACCGTATAAGACACGGTCTACCTTGCCCGCTGCAATGGATCAACCGTGTTCTAAGCAACACGTATAATGACCGTATCATACGGGTATGATGACCGTTAGATACTTGAACAACTGTAGGTAATGTGAAGTTTTATATGTTATTCCGGCTTCCTCATCAGTGTCGTGTGAACGTGTAGAAGAGTTAACCACGAAGAACGAATATGGCTATGAGATTATCTGTTCGACAATTGGCATTGGTAGCTATTATTTTGGACGATGAAGAAGCAGAAACTCAAAAAAAAGACCCGACGCTATTGAATTCACGACTCTTCAAGAGAACGAGAAAGTGAAAGAGAATATTGGACATTATTTAGACATTCAGTTGATGATGAGGAAAACTTTTTTCAGTATTTTCAAATGTCTACATTTCAATCGAATGTGTTGCTGAATAAATTGAAAATTATTTACAACCCGTTTATACACCGTTTCGCTGCCGGAGACCTACGGTTTAGCAACGTCACGTGCCATGCACGTTGCGTATCAGCACTGGCAAAATATTCTCGACTCGAATACTGTGATGGCACGTGCATGCCACGCTACGTGCCGGACCGGTGACGGAACGGTCTAGTGGGCGTTGGTTCATATAAATTGTATGATAGAATATTTTTTAGCATGTGCCGGTACGTTTTCGGTCATGGTTTGGTACGGTATAGTGGGCAGAGACCTTAAGCCGTGAATTGTATTTCCACAATACCGGACGTTTTCTTCGTATTGCTTCTCGCAAGCGGCGCATAACTTCGATATAATACTTCTTACTGTACAAGAACTCATGATGCACTGCGCCACGGTAATCGAAGAAAATGGTGAGCAAAACCTTACATTTGATCGAACTTGGCGTGCTTTTTTGGTATTGGCTCTCCTTGGCTCTTCCATTGGGACGATTGGACTTTGGTTTCGATGCCATAACCATATACCCATGATTCGTCACTAGTTATGACCCTTTTAAGCCGTTAACGTCATCAAACAATTCCTGAACAATGCTCATGCAACGGTTTTTTTGGTCGAAATTCGTCAATTTTGGAACAAAATTCGCTGCCACACGCTTCATACCCAAAATTTTCGAAAAAATTGCATGGCATGAGCCAACCGATATGTCTGCATGTCGGTTGGCTCATGCCAACTTCTCTAATAGTGACTCGACCATTCTTCATAACAATTTTATTCACTTTCTCAACATTTTCATGTGTTGATGTGCTGGGGTGTCCAGGGTGAGCATCGTCATTCACGACTTCTTGACCTTCTGTGAAAAGCTTACACCACTTGTCTGCATGTTTTTATCAAACTCAGAGTACAATCACTGTATGCCACTGTCAACATTTCAAATATTTATGCCTCTCACCAACAAACTGAACATGTTTAACAGCTGAAACTGTGGACATATGTTCGAGACGAGTGTACAACTTGTCAAAACTAAGACGAGACTTGAGAATTATATATCTCTCTCTCTTTCTCACAGTCTCCTAACGAAGCGCATCTTAGGAGAGGTCCTGAGCCGAGTCTTTGAAGTCACTTCCTAGATTTAACAAGTTGTACCAACATGAAATTTAAAAAAATCGCTAATCAAATGTACGTAGTTCGCAAAAATTGTACATTGTCCGCAAAAATTGTACGTAGTGCGCAAAAATTGTACGTAGTCCGCAAAAATTGTAAGTATATATCCAGAGAGCTTACGCGAACTTAAGTTTAATTTAACCTCACCGAGCATACCTAAATCCTCAGACAAAACCAATTTACACCAGACTCTCATCCTTCCACAGTTCACCTGTATATTTTCCCTATTTGGATTGTCTAGATTTGTGCAGGATACAAAAAGTCCAAAATTCCTGTTTACGCTACATTTATGGTATCCGTAAGTTCCAGCATATCTCTCAGCTTTCTCAGTCGCAATGGCTCTCAATGAAGAATCATTTTTTATTGCAATATCTAACCTCATTTCACAATATAATCATCAACAAATCACCGCAGTATCTTTATGATAAAGTTCGATTTCGTGAAAATGAACATGAAGTGGATATCCGACACAAAAATACAATAACTGCCCCCCACCACAGCACAGCACCGTTCGAGATATCGTTCAGTTTTTCTATCTACACTCATTACAATAGTCTTCCCACATACCTAAAAATTAAGTTTTGTATATTGTAAAGGAGTTGAATGGAAGAGCAGGATTCAGCGTGTTGCACACGCTTGTCTCCTGAATTCCGCTCCGAGATTTTACCAAACCCATTGTCTTTTTCTTGTGTACTTTTCTTTTTACCTTGGTGAATAAAAGACATTATTATTATATTACAGTTTAAAGTAGACTCATAAAAACGGACAAAACTTTTGAATCAAAAAAAAGTTTTAGAGGAGGATTCAATGTTACCGTCGACTGTCCCCTAGAAGATTTTGAAATCATTCTATTTATATTTTCAATATGAGCCCCCTTTATAAATCATCAATGAGGCAAAGATATTTTTTGCTTTATAGCATTATAATAGAGCTGAAACAATAAAATGTTACGAAATTTCATCAAATTTCTTAGAAAAAAAATAACGAATTGATAGTCATTAGTTTATTTAAAAATGTACTGATACATGTAACAGTAAATAAGTTTATTTTTCCTCGTTGAAGCCAGCTGATGAAAATTTCATTGGTTCTGGCCATCATTGAAGTTTACTGTCATTATACAACTGTACTGACAGTATAAACATCACTCAGTTGGGATTTCAAATAGTTTTTTGTGTGAAGGAGTCTTTAACATTTCCGACCAAGTTATTATTTTTGATGAATTATTCGTACAGAATGTTCGTCATTAATGAAATAAATCGATAAATGCCAAATGAAAAATTTTGAAAACACGAAAAGTTAGCCCTTGATCACAGCAATTGGTCGCAGTTTGATACACTTTTTTGAAATTCCAGCTGCATGACAGGTATTTACTACATCAGTAACATTTTTATACGACTCGGGAGCCTCCTCCATGACTAATTTGGGTGATGCAACTCGGATTGAGATTCCCATATACTCCATTTTCCTCAGGACACTGGTATAGTCTAAGTTTCTCCTAGATTTCGCTCTTGATAATGCCCGGCCCTGAAGAAAATTTGAAGAACATTTAAAACAGAACTATCATGAGTAGAAACTAGAACAGACCAATGCAAATTATTTTTTAAGAGGACAAAATTAATAACAACATAGAAATAGTTATATAGGAAAAAACTAGCGATCCGCCTTGGCTCCGCACGGGATCAATGCTGATACTAAATATATATATAAACGCGTGCGATCGTTGCTAATCACGCACGCTCCGCCGCCTCCCCGGCCGGTACCGCCGCAACCGCTATGCATTTTAAATCTGTAATATCTTTAAAAAAGTTCATTTAAATTACATGCTGTAAAAAGTCATATTGATCTATATTGAAGGCACAATGTATTTAAGGTACTTAATAGGATAAAGATTATTGCTGTATTGCTTAAAATCGTTTCGATACTAAGCCATTATTTCTTGAGAATAAAAAAGGTATTGTGAGTTATCCCTAAGAGATAGACATATACCAGCGCGGACTTTTTTGTAGACCTTTTCAAGGTGTACAATACTGTAGTACATTTTTTGATCTATCTCATAGGTTTGTAATGTAAGCACAAAAAAATGTGTTTTTTATTATATTTCCTACTTTTTCTCATTATTTTTATGCTATCAATAATTTTTTCTCCTTTTTTAGTTTCTAACATGATATGGAACTTGCAGATTTATTTTTACATCATAAATGTATTCTGCTATGATAACTATAAACTAATGCATAATATGAGCAGTGAAATATTGATAGTCAGTTTATAAAAAGTATAAAAAGTTTCTTGCGTTAAAAAACCAATTCAAACATGCGTTTAAAGACGCGAACTGTCATGACGTCATACTGTATCAATCCGGGCGCACTAATATGGCGCAGGCTGTGACTGCCGTTTAAATCTACTTATTTAAGCAGCTGTAGCGAAACGCTTTTGTGTAAAATGTAATGAGGTCCTGTTCTTTTAATAGATTGGTATTATTGACTTGTATAATTTAGTAATTTGTGTTTAATCCTGATTTAGCTTTGTTTGTGTGTTGTTAAATTTATAAATCTAACAAGAACTTTCAAATTCAAAGGCAATAAAACACAAACAATATTACAAATATTGCAGTGCACAAAAACTTCCATTAAATCACCCAATAAAATATTTATAAGGGTATCTGAAGGTGATTGCAATCGTCGAACAAAATGGTTAAATGCATGCAGATCGAATAAAAATATTTCACATAACTGCAAAACTCTTCATGTAATGGAGACCATTTTAATGTGATTATTTACATATTATTTACCTATCTGATTTGTGATATAATTGCGTTCAAGCTACGGATATTGGAAAATAAAAAACTAAATTAAACATTTATTTATTTATTCAACGCCAAAGCCAATTTACAAAAACATATTCGACAAAGTGTGAAGAACTACTGGTTTAGGTTTTTTATTAAAGAGGTACCTACATAGAATTTATACATAGTGATTAAACTTAGAACAAATAATAACTGTACTTACTTGTCTATTTCAACTCCATGTACTTCACCAAGAGAAAAATGTTCAGCTTCTTTAATGAAGTTCGCTACCATAAACATGTCAACAACTGGCAGATTATCGGATTGACCTTTTGTAAATCAGTCGTAGGTCATGTATGTTCATATTTACACACTTAATGGTAAATAATACCGTGTAAAATCAACTAAACACAGTAAAAACCACAGATTTGGACAAAAATATCACAATAAACAATATAAACTTCGAAACAGCAAACGCAAACAGTTCAACATAAATGGAATGGCGACTGGTGAAATACAGTATGACGTCACATCCAATGGCTGGACGTTTTGGTCACGTAACGAAATTTAAATTTTTAATAAACTTCAATTGTTTCTATAGAACGAATAGCATTAAAAAAATAGTTTCAAAGGCTCTATTACAATGATATTTTTTGATTCTCAATGTAATTTTCATGATTTAATTTTTTTATAAGTTCCCTATTCTGCACTGGTCTATAAAACTTTTGTGTAAAATGAACTTACAGCTCCGTGACAAGTAGATCCAAATGTTTCCAACATTCCTTGTTCTGTACCTGTCAATACATAACTGCACGTACCCATAGTTCCTCCAATGAGCACAGGTTGTCCCGTTAGCTGATAGTCAACTGGTATAAGTGGATGGTGTGGAGGAAATGCTCTTGTAGAACCCTGAATGAGTAAAAATAATATTCGAGAATCACAAAATTATCACGAATTAAAAATAAATTTTTAGTTTTATTCGCTCACTGATGTGTGAAATCCCATGAACGAGATCTTTTCAAAAAATAAGGTGAATGTTCAAATTACACTCGTATATGTTCACAGTTTTAGCGAGAAACAAGCGGCGCAGTACTTGAGGATTCAAGATGATGAAATTTCTCCATGCTCTACAGTGAAGAATTGAACAGAATTGAACTCCTAATTTATCTTCTGGAAAACTTCCGTGATATTTTAGACCAGAAACAGCTCATTGAGCTGTATCATGCTCAAATCGAAACCCGTCTTCGGTACTGAGTCACAAGCTACATGCTCTCTGTTGATATAAAAATTTCCTATTCTATTTCTAGCGGAGTGTATATGAATACTACTTGTGTAGGTTAACTGATCACTCAGATAATGGAGGACATACACTATTTGGGATCAGTTCTAATAGTGAATCTTTGGGTTACTAACACCAAAGTAACAATAAAAATCAACATCACCAAACATTGTGTCTTAAAGAGAAAATAATTAATAATAATAAACGTCTTCATTACAAACATGCAAAAGCTCTGTTCAAAGTGGATGCCGCGCGATCTCACAATCGACCAAAAACAACGATTTGATAATTCTCAGCAGAGTTTGAAGCTGTTCCAACATAACAAACCCAAATTTATTCGTCAATATGGGACAGTAGATGAAACATGGCTCCATCATTTCACAACAGAATCAAAACAATCGTCATCTGAGTGGACTGAAAGTGGTAAACCGACTCCAAAACATGCAAAGACGCAACAGTTATTATGGTATCAATAGTTCGGGATGCGCATGGTATAATATTCATCGACTATCTTAAAAAAGGAAAAACCATCAACAATGACACACAGCGTTATTGAGAAGTTTTAAGAGCGAAATCCCAGAGAAACGGTTCCATTTGAAGAAAAAATGCACCGCATCACAAATCAATGAAAACAATGGCAAAATTGCATAATTATTCTTTATTGAATGCTTGGATAATTCCAAGCATACATATTTCAGTGTTATGAAGTTGGACTGTGACTTTGTCTACCCAATTTTAAAATGTCTTTGTATATTAGAATGCCTATTTGAAATAAATATATCATTATTATTGCTTCCACATCCACCTCATTCTCCAGATCTGGCCCCCAATGACTTTTTCCTGTTCTCAGACTTCAAGAGAATACTCGCTGGAAAGAAATTAAGCGCCGATGAGGTAATCATCGAAACTGGGAGCTATTTTGAGGCTAAAGACAAATCATGCTATAAAAACACTCGCCAACAGATCATATTGGAAATTCCTCATTCTTTCATGTAGTTGAGGTTATTACACCATTTTATAAAAATTAATCAAAGAATTAGTTAATACTTTGGAATTACCTTTCTGTGAACCAAGAGGGTTTTAGGTTTCCCATCCACAATATGCTCTTCTACTTTGGCTATGTTATGAGACACGTCATAAATCACATGCATGTCTAGATCGTCTGGAGCCAAACCAAATTTTTTCGCAAAGGCCTGTGGAATGAAATGTTCAGTATGGAACTGCAAGAAATAACCTCACCATACCTGTCTGCTAAGGAATGTCATTGAACTTCTATTGACCCATGCAAAATTTGCAGCCGCCGCCATAGATTTCAAATAATCTTGTCCTTCTTGGCTGGTTATTCTCGCACAAGCCAACTGCCTATCATTCGTTTCAATATTGTCTCTCTTCATTGCTTTTTCCATCTGAACGAGTGCATCGGTAGCAACCTGGTGACCAAATCCTCTACTACCAGAATGAATCATAACACAGACCTGGCCTTTCTCTTCAATGCCCATTTTAGAAGCAGCCCATTTGTCATATATTTCATCAACTACTTGAATTTCAGCATAGTGGTTTCCAGCCCCTAAAGTTCCCAGCTGAAATGAATTATTAGTCGACTCAAAGAAAATATTCTATTCAATTCAAACCTGAGGCAATCCTCTTTTTTTAGCTCTCACGCTGACTTTAGATGGATCAGCATTCAACATTCTACCATATTCTTCACAATGTTCTTTATCTTCTGCCCATATATAACCTTCTCGCAGTGACCAGTCCATACCCATTTCTAATGCCTCTTCTAGATCCCTAGCGTTCATAGGAATGATTCCTTGAATTGAAATTTGATTCAAAAACATATGATCTCAACAGAATTTAAGGAAAAAATATCTAACCATAGTCAGTTAGCATTACTAGCGTTACTAGTGTAAATAAATGTTTTCAACTGAATATTAAATGAGGTAATAATAAGAAAATTTGAAACTGAAAAGTTGAGAACCATTGCTAGAATTGTTGGTGAGTGTCTAGAACTTTTTTCAAGTGACTACTCAATTTAAATTTGATATAAACAAATTTTTCAAAAAATAATATCATAATCAATAGCCAGTTCGGCTTTCAATTAAAAATGAACACCTACGATGCTAATTTTCTTTGTTATTCAATGGTTATGGAAACATTATTAAAAAAGAGTAATCAGCTGCAGTGTTTTGTGACTTTTGACTGCCTAGATCACGGAATAAAGCTACCTTCATGGTGTTTTGCAGTGACAATAACTTATAAGGAACTTGGTTTGTCTGCTGCTAAATCGGCTCATTTCTCACTCATTGAGTGAGAAAACGAAAGGCTTTAAAACATAAAGAAAAGGTGCACAATTAAGTAAAGAATTAACTTAGTGATGTTTAGAGTATTAGTTGAAAAAAATGTAAAAAATGGAATTTTATTACATTCTGTAAATTATTAATCGAAGTATTACTACAAAGTAGACAATTATATAATTCTGTTTGAAACACTTTTAAAAAGAATTATTTTGTATCAAAACTGACAATCATTTCACGAAATAATAAATATTACCTTTGGAACCAACACCAACAGGAATATGATCGAAAAGGCTCTGAGCTAGCTGTTCCTTGACAGGCATGACATCTTGTTCAAAGAGATTTGTGCGTAATAATCTAACTCCACAATTGATATCAAACCCTACTCCCCCTGGGGACACTATTGAGTCAGGGTTATCCATGTCGAAAGCTGCCATGTTACCAATGGCAAAACCATATCCAGAATGAACATCTGGAAGGCCAACTGACCTACCTGAAATACAGATAAGACAATTAAAAATGCAGATGTATCGACAAAATAAGCAATAAAACACATATTTTATACTATCCATACTATCCAACTAGTTATAGAATTTTCACAATACATTTTATTCAAAATACATTTCGCTACACAGTAGCTTCATCAATTACTGATGAAGCTACTTTCATAAATATGGAGTACAAACTGAATAGGAATTCAGTGTAAGTAATTTTTCCATCCAGTTTGTAAATGTTTCATATTCACCTCATTTTGGATCTCCTAACAAAATATAAGTAGATAGATGCTTTCAAATTATCTCACCCACAATTCCTGGCAGAGCAGCTACATTGGCTATTTGTTTCACTCCAGGTAGAAAGCCACCGACCATCCCGGGACGACAAGCGTTTCTAAGCTCATCCAACATCAACTTTTCTAAAGTTTGGTTCACATAAAATATTCCTTCCACATTCATATTAGGTTGAAAACCTTTTTTTATTTTCCAGGAATATGGAGAGATTTTTTCCAAATACTCAAGTTCTTGTTGGTATTGTCTCACTACCATTTTGAAGAAATGTAAAACCTAAATAAATACAACAATTACCATAAAAATGTATTAAAAAAATACTGAACTTATTTCTATTCTTTCAGACTATTATTATAGCCGGCCAAACACCTAAGTCATAGAATAGTAAACAATTATTCTGTGGCTAAGTTCATGTTCCAGTTCCCGAGTCGGCAGTGTCGCCAGTGTCGCCAACGAAATACTCCAAAACTGGATAAAAATACATGTATTTTACTGGCAAATTACTGGCAACCTTATTGCGATGTTAAATGATGAAATTGTTTATAAACATACACTTCATATTTTATTGAATAACAAATATAAAATTTTAAAAAAAATTATCACCTGTCACAGTTTGAAAATATTCACTATGGATAAAAAAAAATCGATAAGTGGGAATTCTGCTACATCGATATAATTGTTATACATCATATCATCATATTTTAAACTGATGGATGTAGCCGTTACTACGTGGTAAGAGATCATTGTGAAAAATGAGAATTGAAAGTTTCTTTGTATTCGTTTGAGAATGTCCTTGGAGGACTTCAGTAACAAATACAAGTAGTATAAAGCCAGTTTGGGTTTTGATCATCCTGCGTTACCATTTTCATCGTAAATTCTAAAACTAATCCATAAATTGGTCACTATTTCAAAATGTATTAACTTTACCGGCCACTTACGCACTTTCTTTGTCAGAGACGTTCGGAAATACGGCAAAATCAAACACGTTCTCTATGACGTAACTAACTGAGAATTGACTTAAAGTTTGGATGAGGAGAACATCAGCCTATTAACCTAACAACCTCTAACTTTCTTCTGTTGTGGCTTGATCTTGATCTATTTAGTGGAAATTAGAAATTTCCACTGAAAAATAAATTAAAAATGGACAATATTTCTGCATTAACGGGATCCCAAAAAGATGAGCTCATGGACCAAGTGAAACAGCAAATTGCTGTGGCTAATGCTCAGGAACTTCTAACAGTAAGTTAAATTCGGAAAACGTGAGACAATTTTAATTTTTTTTTTTTTTTTTAGAAAATGACTGAAAAATGTTTCAAAAAATGTATATCCAAACCAGGAACCTCCTTAGATAGTTCAGAACAAGTGAGTATGTTTTAAATGTGGTATCTCATCAGAACCATTGAGTTTTACAACTGCCTAGTCTATCTAATGTCAGATTTCTATAGTCATCTGTTGTGTTAACAGTAGTGAATTGGCGCAGAACTGCCAGACTCACGCTCCAAGGGTCACGGCTAATATTTTTCGCTCGAGAATTTATCTAGTGGAAAGTCGATTGATTCTCCTATTTTACATGAGTGACAGGATTGCTTATAGCTATGATAATCCCAGGTGGCTCGTAGAGTTATTAATATAGCCTTTCCAGAACATGAGACCAGTGACTGAAGCAGTCAATGCTGTTGACAGAAAGATTTATTTATAAAAGCTTGACTGAACCAAATCAAATTATGAGGAACAATTTCAAGTACATTAGATTGGGCCTACAAATTAGACTGCATATTCAATTTTACTTCTGATAATCATAGATTGAATTTGGAAAGCAGTCACTAATTTACTTTTTATGCAGAACAACGAAATATATCTGAAAAATTTAATGTTAATTTAATTTTTTTATTAGTTTATTCAATGAGAAAACCCAATTCACATTATAAGAAAAATAGCAAAATAAATATAAAACATTAACTAACATTTGATAATTCGACATAGAAATATATTTGATAAGTTGACCCAAAAATAAAAATCTGGTTAGTAAATTAAGTTCTAAACTAACATAATCCAAAAGCCTCCTGATATTATATGTATTCACGTTAATCAGACTAATTTCAAGCAGGAGTTTTCAAATCCATACTTTTAATTAGATCCAATCAGTAAGTATCACCGGACAATATTTTTTGCATGAATGTCATGTCACAGGATACCCTTCCAAGCGATAGTGTTGCATTTTATGAGAATAAGGTGAAAGAAATATCTCAAAACATTATTTCAAGATAGCTTGATATTTCTTTTTTTTTCATTTTGTGTCTTGACATTAACAATTACCCTCGTATCCTGGCTAAGTCATTTCAATAATTCCTGAGCCACTCAGGAAGTGTCATTTAACATAACATACGCAGTCCACTTTCCAATCAAATTACTATTGTTAAAAAAATATCGAGGCTAGATTCTAGCCATCCCCGTTTTTTCATATAAACTGTTAAGTTGATCTCTCATTATATTTTTATTATTAATGAGAATTTTTTAAAATGGATCACACCTTTATTATCAGAAGAATCGTGAAATACAAATCAAATAACAGAATTTAGCTTATTAAAAGAGAGAAGGAAAAAAAACACCTCAAAAGTGCTGCTTTGTTCCCTCCTATTCATAAATGAGGACATATGCCTCCTCACTCACAAGTGATTTTGGTGAAATTGAGGACACGTGTGAATCGTTGTATTCATTCCACGTGCCACTATAAGGGTGTCTGCAATATGCTGTGTAATGCCCTGTATGTAGTCCCACTGTGATTCGAAAGTGCATATAAATTGTAACGACAAGGAGCCACATTGTCTGATGCATAATTGCTCATATCTAATCCTTCTAAAGAAAACTCAGTGGAAACATTCATGTTCAATACTTTTGATTTTTAACCATTTAAAATATCGTGGTACTAATCAAAACTTGAAATGTTCTGGTTTTCTATTCAAGGACCATTAATTTCTTTAAAATCAAATAATCTTATTGTTTTTCAGAAATGTGTAGCTATGTGTATGGATAGGTATATGGACTCTTGGAATTTAGTTTCAAAAGCATATGGAATCAGAATCCAGAGGGAGAGGGGTCGCATGTGAAAATAAATTGAATAGTACATTTATTTGATGTAATTGAAGGAGTATGCTGCTAGTTCAACGTTTTGTCAGTTGTAGTCGAACACATTTTCAATTAAATTTTTGTTACAAACGATTTCATAATATTTTTCTTACTAAAATTATGTTGTACCATATGTCTCTATATCTTTATCTCGCATATCAAGATTATTATACATCTGAAAAAGTATTAAGTGAGATATGGATATTATTTCAATAAATGCTGAACATAATAAGGTGTATCATAAAAATGAAAACTCGAAATTATTTTTTTCAATATTTATTGTATCAATATAAAATAATAATATAAATATTCACAGTGCTGAGTTCAAAGACATTAAGTAATATCTTGTAAGTTTTTTTGAAGTTTTCATGAGTAATTATTGTCACAGATAACGCTCATGCATCTATAAAAATCACATTTCAAGGCACAACATTTGAATAAAATAAATTAAGTACACGAGAACAAATTACCTACCACAAGATAGTGGCATATATAGAAGCTCAATCTAGGAAGGCATGCATGCAAAAAAATAAAAACATGTAAAAACTTCAATTAAACAGCATTGGTAATGTAATCTACTTAAATGGAACTTTGTTCAAAACAGCCAAGAAAATTGGGTTTCAAATTGTCCTTCTGTAATGCAGCTTACATTAATCACATAAAATTCCACCTCTATATATGCCATTGTGACCAAGGACTGGTTTTCCAGAATGAAATTAATAAACCTGAGTCGTAAACTTATTTCGTTAAAAATGGATTGATAACTTAAAGAGTTGATTTTTATTTTTAAATTGGAAAACATATCCTTCAAATGTAACAATTATTATTGAGAGGAATGTAACAATATTTGTAAATCAAGTTAAAATTGTTCTGAACAAGATGGAAATAATAGATGTGCAGTGAGAGTTGATAGACGATACTAAGGCAGGTGTATTATTACCAAAAAATAATATACCTGAAAATATGGGATGAAAATGTTTTCAAATCATTGATAAGAACAAAAAATAGGGTATTCCAAAACCCAAAAGTGGCCTTTCCAGAAACCA